AATAAATATGTGCTGACATTAATGAAGATCTATGTTCATGTTGTTCTCCATATATAATCCCAAATTTTTTTTATTTTTTTGGGAGAATTAATATTAACCCTTATAGAACCCATATTCCTATATACTACAGGCAAAGAGATGGGGATGATGATGTCACAACAGCTCGCCACATCACAATCATCTCTTTGACTGCATTTCCATTATGACAACACAATGGTGCTGCTGTCCCAACAGGAGTGACAGTGTTCTGTGTCCATTCAGCAACTGTACATGGCCTATGGGGCGCCCCCAAGCATGAATTATTCAACACCCACTTAATGTGCTGTACCAACCGACTGGTAAAGTGCAGCTCTGGTGCAGTCCCACACAGCCCTGCAGAACTGAATGCAGTGATGGAATGCCTCATACGCCTCATACGCTTCAGCCATGACTCACCTACACACATTACACAGTGTGCTGGGACAAAATGCATTGCAAGCATTGCAAGCGTACAAAAAGTGGCATTGGACTGAGACTGAGTCAAGGTCCTTACGATGTGGATCTCCTGAAAAGGGCTAGAAAACATACACTCTAAAACATAAAGGCTCCAAAAGGGTGTTTTTGCAGTGATGCCATAGAAGAACCATTTTTGGTTCCCCAAAGAACCTTTCAGTGAACAGTTCCTAAAATAACTATTTTAAAGAACATTTGTGACCCTGGACCACAAAACCAGTCATAAGGGTCAATTTTATGAAATTGAGATTTATACATCATCTGAAAGCTGAACAAATGAGCTTTCCATTGATGTATAAAGTTGTCCAAATGAAGTTCTTAGCAATGCATATTACTAATCAAAAATTAAGTTTTAATATATAGGCCTATACAATACGAAATTTACAAAATATCTTCATGGAACATTATCTTTACTTAATATCCTAATGATTTTTGGCATAAAAGAAAAATAAATAATTTTGACCCACACAATGTATTGTTGGCTATTGCTACAAATATACCCGTGCTACTTATGAAAGATTTTGGGCTCCAGGGTCACATTTTAAAAATATAAAGAACCTTTGACTATAAAGAACCTTTTCTGCATTTGAAAGGTTCTATGGACATTAAAGGGTTCATATGATGTGATTTCAATTTTTCCGCGTTTCAAAAAGGCGGGGCATAGAGGAGAAACAATCATGTACAGTATGTGGAAAATAATGTGTTTTTTTAACTTTAAACCGCATAAACACATTTCATTACACCAAATACACAAAATAATGTTCTTTTTAGCAACATCATATGACCCCTTTAAAGGTTCTTCATGGAACCACTGATGCCAATAAAAAAACTTTATTTTTAAGCCGTGTAACGGCTTTCAATTTCTGAATTGATGAAGCATCTGTAAACTACTAAGACTGTAAACTACTAAGACTGTAAACTACGAATTACTGCGGTTCAGATGAGATTTATTTAGTAAACTGACTTATCCACTGGCATGCTGAATGAATGATGCAAATGAAGCAAAGTTGACAATACATTCATTCTAGTGTGATTTGATGATCAATAAAACAATACAGAGGAAAATTAAGGCATACACAGTTTGTTTAAAACACAATCAGATTTGCATTTGACATTTGAATTATTATTTACAGTAAATGCAAGAGAAAATCAACATGATATCTACTTGTTTATTGGTTAACATCCAATAGCCTGTATGGACTAAGTGACATCAGGAAAAAAAAAGTTATTTAAGATGAAGAGATAACATTCCATGCAATGATGATGAATTATGCGCAAAAGAACAGGAACGTGCATTAAGAAAGAAAATGGGGTCAAATTTAGATTTTTATATTGACCTTAACAGATACATAGAGTACACATTTGTGCTAATTTTTGTTCCTGTTTATTAGTGTTGTCTTTATTTGAGAAGATATTTTACCAAACCCATATTTATATATATATTAATAATATTGAATGTGCATTTGTAATATAATTCAAATCTTCAAAAAGTATATATATATATATATATATATATATATATAAAAAATCACATTCACATTTTTGTGAAAGGCTTTGTGAGGGAGAAGGTCATATTGTGGGTTTTAGCCTATCTAGTGCACAGCATGAAAATGGTCGGATGGATGTAATGACGTTATGGATGCTGGTATGAAATAAGGGACCGGCGTCTTTAAAGGGCCTCATCTTCAATGCTTTTAAGCAAAAAAAAAAAAAAAAATGTAAATAAAAAAGATGCTATATCCTATGACCTATGTTCTAGTTAATAAAATATATAACAAAAAAAAAATACAATTAGAAATATACCTGAAGACAGTTTTAATTACCAAAGCATTGGTATATGACAAGCTAATTGAAAACACGCTTCGTGTCATGAAAGCGGTTCGCTGTGTGTCACGCAATAAAACTACCTGCAGACGGTGATGAGATTCTTGCGTTCCACGCCGCTGTTTCTAGAAGATGATTTTTTCGACGTTAGACCCATAGCCATTGCGGTCTGGAAACAGACTGACTTCATTCGGCGGAGGCTGCATCGAGCCTCTAGTTTCCCGGTGCGGCTCAGACCCCTCCCTCCTTCCGCCGCGCTGCGTGTCCACTCCGGCGGAGGAGACCGGGGCATAAAAACACATCCTCTGAATGCTCTCTCAGACATCTGAAGTGTAATATAATCAGCAAGCATTCAGAGAAGATCGGAGCGCGCGCAACACACGCATATGATTTTCAATGCCTGATGATAATACTAAAATAATAACAACAACATGCCCAACGGTCATGAATATGTGGATGTGGAGAACTGCCTAGTGGTTGTTTTAATGATTTAAAGAGATAAAACAATTAGAAAACGTTGTGCATGGTTAAAATTAATTATAAATAAATCATGTTGTTAATACAAATTTATATAAGGTCAATGCGTATCAGGTAAACCTTTATTTCATTTCTCCGTTTGTCAAAACTAAAGCCTGTAACTAAACACTGTACCAACCAGTTTGTCATAGTTAAACACAACATAGCTATAGTCACACTTACCAGAAAATGTACGAAACATATGGCAAGACAGAATGTGTTATTTATTCTGTATATTTTTATTTGCAAGTAGGTGGGTTATCTTAGAATGAAAACTGTGGCCACCAAGCTAGGTCTCCTCTAAAATGTTGAGGGTAAAGCACCTGAAATATCAACGTAAGCAAATATCCACGTAATAATCATTTCTAATCAAGTCAGCAGTCTTGTGTAAAATAATGCGCCACGGGCGTTAGTGGATTCAGCCTCCAAGATATCAACGAGCTGATCTCGATTTTTTTGCATTAGATTATAAAGCAAGTGTACAAGTTGGCCACCAGTGGGCGCCAACAGATGCTCCTTCACGATCTCAGACTCAACCCGGGCGTTAGTGGATTCAGCCTCCAAGATATCAACGAGCTGATCTCGATTTTTTTGCATTAGATTATAAAGCAAGTGTACAAATTGGCCACCAGTGGGCGCCAACAGATGCTCCTTCACGATCTCAGACTCAACCTTGAACCACAGCGTGTTGTAAATCAATCATAAATCTACATTTAGTTTTATCAGTCGATCAATGGAAGTCCACGACAATGTAAAAGCGTTTCACTTACCGGAAACTCATGGGCTGATGTATGAACACAGAATTTAGGTTTAAATGATACTTAGATTAGATATTATTTTTTATAACTACAGACCATAAGACAGCAATAAAAAAAAAATAGCTAACACGTTTTAATTTCAGAACACGTGACGACGTGACCATTCAGTTTCTGATTTGACTTCTCTTTTTAAAATACTACTAACAAAACTTTAAAAGTGGTTTAAATGATACTTAGATTAGATATTATTTTTTATAACTACAGACCATAAGACAACAATAAAAAAAAATAGCTAACACGTTTTAATTTCAGAACACGTGACGACGTGACCATTCAGAGCTGTAAACGCCGTTTCGCCTTTGCCTTTCACCTTTCATTTTGGGCCCGTTTACACCTGGTCATTTCGTGCGTTTTCGCTGTTCGGATATCTATCCGATTTGTTAAAACGTTTCCATTTACACTTGGCCACATACATGTGTCGTCGCAAAACAAATATAAATCCGATCTTCAATTCCCGCGCTATATTTAAATTTAACGGAGTTCACGTCAACGAAATCAAAAGATAAACGCTGCATTTTATTATCAGCTCATTTCAAGATCAAAGACCGCAATAGGAGAGCGCGCGGCATCAGCACTGAAAATATAAGTTTGTCTTCTACTTTTAATGAAGATGATTGTGTGTTGACCGTCTGCGTCTTACTTTTTAATTCGCGGCAGTTTGCGCGTCGGCTTGCTGAAGAGATGCTCAGCTGCTTGTCCGCAGCAATGCGTTGCTGACTAATGTCATATAGCATATAACACGCTCTCACACGTTTATTATTTTAACATTGGGATGAGTAAAATGTACATATGTGGTTTCAACAACCAGATGCATTTACACTTGTCCAGTTTCGTCTAGAATGTGGCCCAGACCACCTCCTGAAGTGGGTTGAGTAATCGGATTTATATCCGTCTCAAATGCGTTTCGGAGGGCATTTACACCTGGTCTTTTCACGATCGGATAGCTATCCGATCAGAAAAAACGCATGAAGTGACCAGGTGTAAACAGGCCCTTTGACGTTACCGAATCCGAACAGGCATTCTCCGATTGGCTAAACAACATCTGCTGTTTTAGAGCCTCTGCCCGTTGCAGAGATAAGCATGATATCTCAAGTCAAGACACTGTTTTAGTCAATGCCCCAAATTAAGGGGCATTTTTGCTTCACATTTAACATAACTAAGAGAAGAGAATTGGGGAATAAGGAAACCAAGAGCCACTGACATGGTGCTTCAATACTAAAGAAACACATTCAGGCAAATTTCATTTAACTAAGGTATGCTATTATCCTTTTCTCTCTCACACACAATCACACACACTAAGCAGGTGACACAGAGCCTTTGTTTCAGTATAAAAGGAGGTCAAACACAGCATCAGAGCACAGCAGGAGAGAGCGAGAGTATATTTCAGCTGAGAGAACCAGAATTACAGAACAGTCTTCAGGCAGCTAGATAAACAGAAGCCCACTTAGAAGAACATTTAGATGTGAATTCATATGTACATTCAGACTTGGCCAAATAAATACATAAATTAAAAGAATAAATTAACAATAATTACATAAAAACAAAGTCAGAAGATACAGTCGTTCCTAGCTCAAAACATGATTTTTAACCAGTTCCCAAACCAGTACATTTTGCTATAGTTGAAAATACTGGCCCCTATTCATGCCTAACACTGGGCAGTACCCTTGAGTAAGTGTTGTGATGGCCCAGTGTAGTACTTTGTGTAAAGAGCATGTTGAAAGCATTACTTCTAAGGCTACATTGAGGCATACGAGCTAACTAAAGCAGTGGAACAAAAACGTTCTAGTGTGTAACAGAAACATGACTAATCTAATCCAATTATAGTGGTCCAGAACTATATCTGGGACGTTGATCTAAAAAGATCTGTGCAGTGCTTTTAAAAGTATTACAGTATCTCACAGACTCCTTGGGATAATTCAGTGCAAGATTCACTTCTAGAATCCACTCTGTGTGCCATCCTCTCACTTCAACCTCTAATAATACTGTTTAACGTCAAACTGGCAGAGCCCTGTTTGGGAGCAAAGCAAAAGAATCAGGCCTAAGGGAGGTATGTGACAACACTGTTACACCAATGACACTTTTACCATAAAAGTGAGGACTAATTGGTGACAAAACACATAATCAGTGGACCTCCTATATATCCAGACAGAAACGAAGGCTGGCTGCCTGAGGAGAAGCAGTTAAGAAACATCTCATCAGTGTGGAGAAAAACAGCAGTTGTTAACCATTCAGTGTGCAGAATACAATCAGTGGTAGCATAGAATCCATATTGTGGTGTGGATCTATTAGAGGTTAGCGAGGGCCTTTATGCTGGCAGCCTCCTCACATAAAACTGTACACAACGTACAAATCGACTGGCTCAGGTTCGTCCGAATGCCTTGCCAACTTCAGCCTGGTTTTCAAGTGCAGTATTTCACTGGGCAGCTTGGTCTCTTCCCCCTCCATCTGACGTCTGGATCTTAAAAGGATTGGAGCACTGCAGCAGAGATATGCTAATGCATTACCTCAGCCTCATCCAAATCCTTTAAATGACCCCCTTCTACTTTAGAACTGCTGATTCACTAACTAACTGGATGCAGCCGCTGCCATCTTGTCTTTTAGCGGTGATGAGAACCAGGAAAGGGAAAAACAGCTGGAAGGAGGCCATGCACCCACAGTGAGGGTCTGAAGGATTGTTTTGAACCAAACAACTTTGTGAACGGTTTTGTTTTAAACTAATCCACCCGAATTTAGGAATGGAACTGAATAAATAATAAATAAACGGGTTCTACAAAAATCTAAAATAAATTAAAAGTCTATTTGGAATTCAACGTAAATCTTAATAAAAACTTATGTACAAATCGACTTGAGAAATTCCTGTTCCCTTTTTCGTATCCTCTCTGCAACTGTACCAAACAGAGACAGAGATTCTCAGAGAGGAGAACAGGATCCATTGATCATTTTAAATACTGTTCCCGTTGCATCCACATCAGTCCCTTTTTCTGAAGCTTATGACCATGGTAATCTACAAATGATGCACTAACCCTGCAAAGCAGCAGATGACATTTCCCCGACCTACTGCTCCAACATAGAGAATGTGCATGTTAGGGGGAAAACAATCTGTTTGGTTTGGTCTGCAGTCTTATTTTTCTTCTCAATGAGAGGATGATGGTGAATAGCGAGGGTACAGACCTTCAGTTTCTTTGTTTGCTAACCCACGCCACTGTGTCTGGTAGATCCAGCCATTGTAATAAGTCAGTCTGCCTTCGGTTTCCTGTTTGGTCTAAACCTAGCAACCTTGTACCTACATCTCTATCTCTACTCCTCTCTCAGTGCGAGTCGGTCTCTCTGGGGCTGTATCCGTTGGCAGGGGGCAGGAGTGAGGTTTTCGGTTCAGAGTCTGTGCTGCTAGGAGCAGCTTTGTGCCGTGAGGCTCCGGTGAAGAGACGGAAGGCGCCCCTGCAGATGAGGGAAAACCAGTAGACTTGCGGGGCCATGAGCAAAGCTGCACCTGCGTTAAACTGCCAGGGCACAGACAGTGGCACCATGTAGAAGGGGATGGAGGCATACCTGTGATATGAGCACAAACAAATATTTGCATATAGTCAGTGTATAGTGAAGAAGTAATTATTGGTATTTTTTATAATCAAAGTCCCTTTCAAGAAAAGTCAGATCACTCAGGGCCATATTTGCAATGCCTATCTACTTGAATAGGGAAATACAGAAAAAAAAACAATGCACGTTTCAGGTTGGTCCACCCAATGCACATGTGCAGTCCCAAGTGTGTGTCTCAGGAAAATGTTTTTATGGAAACCGCAGTATCGACCAATGGCTGCAGTAATGCAAAGTCTTCACCGATTGGCACATGGCTCTTTCATTTAGGATGCGGGACTCCTTTCACACCAAGGATGATCATTAAAATGATAACGATTACTATAAATTAGGGATGCACGATATTGGATTTTTACCGATATCCGATATTTTGGTCGATACCGATATATTTCCTTTTTGGAAACAAGTCTCTCCTGTGCAAAGATTATAAACAAATTATTTTTATGTTGCTTTTTTATTTGTAGATTTAACATTTGTAGATGGTCTAAAGCAAAAGATTACCTTGTATTTAAGTTTTCATAATTCATAAAAAAATTTTTACACAAAATTATTTAGAAGTGTCATGTTTGTGATTTTTTATTATGTAAGCTATAGCTTCTGACCTTTAAAAACAAAACAGATTTGTGATTTTATGACATCAGTTATTGCTTTATTTATTTAGAAACACAACTATCCTAAAGTTTTTTGTGTATTTTTCTTTTTATTTTATTTTATTACAAGTAGGACTACAGCGCCCCTAAATAAATAAATAAATAAAAAGCCTTACTGGACGGGCATTAGAACCCAGGGAGGCTGTTGTTGCTGTTGCATGCGCTAGTGACTGTTGACTATCGCACACCGGATGCTTTATTCTGTACGTGCATTCTCAAATTAAATGGGTGATCCAAAACAATCTAATCCCCATTCAGGCAAAATTTTGCTTCAAGAATGACCACACTGCTGACATGATCATATTGCTAGCAGCACACCCTGAGCACAAGTGAGTTTATTAATCTTATTGGCAAGGCATATCGGCTAATTTTTCTTATTGGGCCGATGCCGATTTGTATATTTTATTTTATACAAAAAAACTTTTATTTTATTTTATTTATATTTTGGGCCTTTATCAGACCGGATGCTTTATTCTGTACGTGCATTCTCAAATTAAATGGGTGATCCAAAACAATCTAATCCCCATTCAGGCAAAATTTTGCTTCAAGAATGACCACACTGCTGACATGATCATATTGCTAGCAGCACACCCTGAGCACAAGTGAGTTTATTAATCTTATTGGCAAGGCATATCGGCTAATTTTTCTTATTGGGCCGATGCCGATTTGTATATTTTATTTTATACAACACATTTTTATTTTATTTTATTTATATTTTGGGCCTTTATCAGCCGATTCCGATAACGTTCCGATATTATCGTCCATCCCTACTATATTAGTTTGCCAGTAAAGATCACAATCAGAAAATGTAACTAGGAGCACAAGTGTTAAGACTAAGGATGCTCAAATTTCCAATCTTATGAATAATACATTAGGGCTGCAATTTAAGAACATTAGAATTAGAACAAATTAGAACATGCCATCCAAACTGATGAGGGTTGTCCTGTTATTACGATCGATGATGCTCGACAGCTCATGGTCTTTGGTGGTTATTGCAATAGTTTAGGATGAATGTGTAAATGTTCAAATCAAATCCTGGGTTGAGACCGAGTGAGAAATATGTTCTTCTGAAAACCTCAAGATTTAAGAATCCGTGTTAATATCAGAGGCAGTGTGACTCAGTGGAGAAAGAGAAGATAAAAGAAAGAAGGAATAGATGAGCAATAGAAATATAAGAGATTGAAAGACTGAATGAGCGAGACTGTTAAACAGTGATCTTTACCTGCCGTAGGCGTAGTAGAGGTAGGGGAAGAGAAGAACTCTGCAGATGAAGAAAGTGACCAGCATAAGAGCTCCATTGACTTTATGTAGGAGAGTGTGCTGTTGCTTGTACTGAGGCAAAGAAACAAACAAAGGAGAGAGCAAGAAGCAGAGAAAGAGAGAGCGTTTAACATACAGAAAAATATTAATAGGCAGAGCAATGAACCCTGAAAACCATGATTCAATATTCCCCACTACACATTCAACACTGAAGCAGTGAAGGAGATGTGTACGAGAGAGTTGTTACATTAAAAAGGTCTGTGAAAGATCATTGTCAATCACTAGATGTTTTAAGATTAGTAAATCTAGTAAAAAATTACCCATACATTTCCCAGAAAAGAAAGAATAGTGCAAAAATCTGTTTACCTAGGTTGTTAAACAGAAAGATACAGTCACTAAACAAAAGGAAGACAGAGGGATACAGAAAGACAGGGTGAATGTGTGTTTGTGTTTAGTACCTGGATGAGTATTTTTCCAAGACAGACAGATGGGGTGCTGAGTTCTGCCAGGAACATCACACCCTGGAAATAATCCCCCTTTCCCTGTCTCCAGAACTAAGAAAAGAGAGGAAAAGAAAATAAATTAGGGAAGGGAAAGGAAAGGAAGAGGAAAAGGACAGGAGCAGAAAAGAGACGGATGGGAAAGGGGAATTGGAAATAAATTAATTAAAAAGGGGAAAAAGAAAGTAAGACAAGAGCATGGAAATTGAACATAAAGGGAAATGAAAGGGAAGGAAGAGAAAAAGAAAGTAAGAAAGGAAAGGAAGAGGAAAGCGAAGGATGGGAAAAGAAGAAAAAATTTAAATACAGGAATTAAAAAGTAAAGGGGAAGGGGAAGAGGAAATTGAAAGGGAATGCAAAGGGGAGGAAAGGGGAAGTGGAACAGAAAAAGGAAGAGGAAAGGGAATGGAAGGGAGAGGAAAAGGTAGGAAATGGAAAAGGAAAGGGGAGGAGGAAAGGGAAGGGAATTGAAAGAGAAAGAAGAGAAGAGGGGTGGATGGAAAAAAGAAAAGAAAAGAGAAAACAAGACATTTATACTTGTGTGTTGTGTCAGATGTAGGAAAGCTTAGTGTGGTTTTATCGAGGAAAGTGCTGTAGAGGTTCTCCTGTCTTATCAGGCCAAAACACTCATTGCCATTTAAGTGCAGCTAATGCCAGGGTGCTGGCTGCTGCACTGCTGCCGACAGCAACGGTCTCCATGGATACAGATGGAGTGATGGAGAGCATAATTACAGGGTGAAAGTACACAGGCCCATTCAGGACAAGTTTGACTCAGCCACACTTCAAGCCACCCACAGATCATGATCCCATCAAATCACTCTTAAACAGTCATCAAGCCAAAGCTATGTTACTACACTCAAAACACATGGTCAGACTGGCTCTGATGGGCCTCTGTAATCATATTTCTAAAAAGTAGGGGTGCTCCAATCAGGATTTTTGAGGCCGATCACCGATCACAGAAGGCAGTATCTGCCGATACCGATACCGATCTTTTTAAAGCCTTGTTTTTATAATTTCCATATCATTGGAATATACCAAATTATCATTCCACTCCAATCAGGATTTTTAGGGCCTGAATTTCATTTTTGAAAATGGGGGGAATTCCCCTCTTAGGTGACTCTTGCGAGAGGAGTTCGCTACTGATCCGTGGCTGTTTACCACAAACACAACATTTATCCATTAGTTTGATTTCAAATCCAAACATGGTCACTGAAAATGCTTTTTCAGCATTGCAATTCTTTTTTTACACAGTACAGTAATACAATCTTTCACAGACATGTTTACACAATAAATATAAGCAACACATTATTCAATGCTTTTTACTTTTGCATTTACATCTGGATTTATATATTAAGTTGCTCAAGCAAGTGGCACAACATTTAAACTACTTTTCTTACGTTATCACAAACTTACCATTGACAGAAATAGTCAGCTCTACTGCCTTTCCTTTTGCATTGAAATCTTTATTACAAGCAATCGTGCGGTTCATAAAGAACTTTGTTTTCATGTGTATGCGGTGCAGAAGCAGCACGGACTCATTTTGCTTTCGCACAGGGACGCATTTTCAGTCTGCTCCTGATCCGCGGCTGTTTACCACAAACACAACATTTATCCATTATTTTGATTTCAAATCCAAACGTTGTTTCTGAAAATGCTTTTTCAGCATTGTGATTCTCTTTTATCACAGTTCAGTAATACAATCTTTCATAGACATATTCACGTTTAAACTCAATAAATATAACTTTGCCATCTATTATTGCCTTGTTTATCTAAAAGTGCACTTTTTCTTGTTTTAAATCTAGCCAAAAAGCCATGTGTTGACTGTGAAACAGTAGACTTTAATAATATGCATTTATGGTGTAATTACTACATTTTCGTGTCAATCCATGTTCATATTTACTGCAAACAATGCGCTGTTACTTTAATTCAGCGCTTGCAGCGCAGCAAAAATAGACTCGGTGCGGAAACGATCTCTGCACTGCTGCAGACGCACCGCTCCTGGAGCGCACCGCCAGACCGCAACCGGGCGCAGTATGCACTGCAAACGGAGTAATGTGAACCTGGCATTATATGTGTGCGCTGCGAGTGTGCATGAGCGCACGGTCTCCAGGAGAGCGTGCGAGCGCCGAATGGTTAAACACTGGCAAGAATTAAAAAGTAACGCAATTTATAAACTTTAGTGACGATGTGACACTGCCTCGATTGTGCAAGTGACAATTCCTGTGTCAACTGCAGCTCGCTTATAGACAGACACGATGTGGTGATTTGAAGACATTTGCGTATTTTGAGAGAGAAAGAGAGCGCGCACGGCGATTCACTCACGCTGTTTGTGAAATTACATCTCACACAAGTACCTCACCTTCAGCATTATAATTATTTTACCCGCACCGGACAGAGACTGAGACGGTGCCGCTGCATGTCGTGCCAAACCTCTTGAGCTTGAGATCGGCCTTTTTAGAGACCGCCGATCAATCATCCCAACGTGATTATCGGCCGATAGTGATCGGTAGCCAATCAATCGGAGCACCCCTACTAAAAAGATGCACTTCATATGTGTGTGTGTTTATGAAAAAACGTTAAAGTCACTCAACCCTCATTCCACTCACCACAGAGACAGGGAAACAGACAGTGACCATGACGACATGGTGCAAGACCATAAGGAACTCTCGGCGCAGATAGCCGAGGATGGCAGACCTCATCGGTTTGGCTTCGCTCTCCTCCTCATGATCTTTGACCTGAAGTTTGTACCAGTGGCACAAGAACATGGCATAGATGTCATAGACGAAGTAGGGGACAGCAAAGAGGATATAGCTGCTGGTAAGCCAATGCCTGGACAAAGGGAGGAGAAAGAGATGAGGAACGAAAGAACAAGAACAAGAAGAAACCCGAGATGAGATTTAAGGTTACTTTGCAACAATCACTCCTGTTTATATACATAATTAAATTCCCATGATTGTTTTCACTCATTACTCAATATTTCTATATATTGAATATTTATAGATATAATGCTTAGAAAGGCAACTTAACATTTTAAACGTGCAGATTTATTTCACATTTAATTACTTTTCTAAATCAGTTTTAAAATCCTTTGAGAACCATAACAAGTCCAAGCCAAGGTTCTTACTACTACTGAAAGTTACAGAAAAGATACATTTTTCATTTTGTGTCGCATGTTAGACAAGAATTAATATAGGTTTAGAACAACATGAGAGGAAGTCAATTATGACATTTTCATTTTTGGGTGACGTGTTCCCTTATAATTTGACTAGCAAATCAAGTACAGTCAGACAGTAGAGGCAGTAAAACTACTCTCTACACGTTCCCAAGACAAATGTGATTTGTGATAAAAAAAAAAACATTTTTTTATTAAACATACACTACCCTTCAAAAGTTTGGGGTCGGTAAAAGATATTAGTACTTATGTTCATCAAAGATGAATTAAATTGATCAGTGACAGTACTTAATTTTACTTTGTTATAAAAATTATATTTGAAATAAATGCTGTTCTTTTGAACTTTCTATTCATCAAAAATCTATCACAGTTTCTACAAAAATAAGCAGCTCAACTGTTTTCAACAATGATTATATACTGTATATATATATATATATACACATACATATATATATACATACATATATACATACATATATATATATATATATACATACATATATATATACATACATACATATATATATACACATATATATATATATATACATAAACATATATATATATATATATATACATAAAAAATGTCCAACAGCAAATGAAAATATAAAAATGAAAGGTAATTAAAAATATGATCTTGGATTCTGCTGTTTATTGCAGTGTTGTTAACTAATGACTACTGAAAATTCAGCTTTGCATCACAGGAATAAATTACATTTTAAAATACATTCAAACAGAAAAAAGGTCATTTTGTTTACTGTGTTTTAGATCAAATAAATGCAGCCTTGATATACATATATACATACATATATACATACATGCATATATATATACATACATATATATATACACACACACACACACACTGAGTATATACTGGGCTGGTCTGAGTATTTCAAAAACTGCTGATCTATATGATATATATGTATGTATGTGTGTGTGTGTGTGTGTGTGTGTGTGTGAGAGAGATCATGTTACACTGAAAACTGGAGTAATGACTACTGAAAATTCAGCTTTGCATCACAGGAATAAATTACATTTTAAAATACATTCAAACAGAAAAAAGGTCATTTTGTTTACTTTGTTTTAGATCAAATAAATGCAGCCTTGGTGAGCATTAGAGACTTCTTTCAAAAGCAAATTTTGAACAGCATAAATGAATAGCAATTTCTATTATAGAGCTATTTCTAGCATCAAAAAGTTTTAAAAAATCCTAAGCATTTAAAGAGATAGTTCACCCAAAAAAATTAAAATGCTCTCATTAATTACTCACCCTCATGTTGTTCCAAACCCGTAAGAATTTTGTTCATCTTTGGAACACAAATTAAGAAATTTTTGATGAAATCTGAGAGCTTTCTAACCCTCCATAGACTGCAATGTAACTACTACGGTCAAGGCCCAGAAAGGTAGTAAGGACATTGTTAAAATAGTCCAAGGACATCGTTAAAATAGTCTATGTGACATCAGTGGTTCAAACTTAATTTTATGCAGCTACAGGAATACTTTTTGTGCACAAAGAAAACAAAAATAACGACTTTATTCAACAATTCTTCTCCTCCAAATCATGTATTCTACCATTATGTGCGTGTTGGGCATGTTTTGCTTGTTGATGTTAATTTAATTATAAGAGGCACTTTGGAGTACAAGTCGCAACATGTTTCAGATGAAAAAAATGCGACTTGTGTTTCAGAAAATATGTTTATCACTGTAACAAGATTTCTGTATAACGAGTGATTCCTTACATTATTACAAGACAAAGTCTTTTGATTATAGTACTGAGCCGCTGCAAAGAAGCTGCTCTAATGTGCTATTAAATTAAATATGAAGTACCATAGAGCAAAAAAAAAAAAAAAAAAAAAATTCTAAAAGAAAAACAGAAGCTTGTAGAATACATTTTAAAGGGCATAATTAAGTGCGAAAATAACTGAAGGAAATATCTTTTAGCTTAATGAACTAAGCCAACTAACATTATACATATTATTTTGGTTTTTGTACCCAGTATTTCTAAAAATTACAAATGCAATGAAAACACAGGTATTGGTACTTGTTATTGGCAAGTACCAAAAATAAAAGTATCGGTATCGGCCTGTTCTGTAAAAAGTGGTATCAGTGCATCCCTACTGTTTTTAGTAACTAACTACTGTTAAGATATTACATTGTAATATACACTTTAAATACTAAACAAATCCATTATTACAGTCATGAATAATCAAAAACATACTGAAGCAATCATAATACTGATGTGCTTTTTTATTAATATAATACTTCCAAAACCTAAATTAGCGTAATAAATTCAAAATCTGACGAATAAAACATGCAAAAATAGGCCTAGTATTTGACTTGGCCTTTGTCTAATTCCCAGCCCTCCTGTATCCTGACTGATGCATTTAACACACACACACACACACACACACACACACAAACACAGAGTAATTGAATTTACCTGGCTTAAATCATTTATGAAACATGATTGCTCTGACCTATTTGAACTGTCGTTCTTAATTTACTTGTGTGCCTTTGGGTTAAGGAAAAATGAAACAAGATAAACAGTTCAAAACAAGATATACAATTCGATCAGGTGAGGCAAATCAAATTAGAGCCAACCGTTTTCCACAAACCTCCTAATGGGTTTCACTGAGCGTAAAGACACAGCTTTCAAGTAGTGTTGTCAAAATACCCGGTATTTCGGTACCAAGTCGGTACTAAAAAAATTAAAACGTTACGGTACCAGGTTTTTTTAAGTACCGGTGGTACCGAGTACCCGGTCAACCCGGTTCTTGATGCGCTATCTGAAAGCTATCCTCTCTTCCAGTGTTGCCAAGTCCGCATTTTCCCCGCGGAATTGGACTGCTTAACACTGTTGCCGCGGGTTGTTTTTCATGTCCGCGGGTTGAAAAACGACCCCCATTAACGTGATATTTAGCCCCTGGAATGCGAATTTTACCAGGGAAA